AATTCGTGTGAACAGAATCCCAAACGAACCAGGAAACCCTCGATGAGTCGACTCATGACTGAGATGAGTCGACTCGACAGAAACTGGAGAAATCTCAATAACCAGCGATGAGTCGACTCATGACAGTCATGAGTCGACTCAACCTGATGAGTCGACTCATAACAGTCATGAGTCGACTCACAGGCTGAAAACTGGGTACTTCGATTCTTCTGCTCGTCGTCTTGTTCCACGCTTCCTCCTGTGTTCCCTTATACTGTTTGACACCCCCTATTCTCATGCTAGTATGAGAATCATCTATCCTCAAGCTTCCATGAGGATCGCTAAGTTCCGAAGAGAAGATACACACGTATCAAGATTAGTAGGCAAAAAGCGAGGCGAGCCTCCTTAGATTAGTCAGCAAACACCCTTACTATCTAAAAATATGAGGCCACGATGAAATTTTTAAGTGAGGATCTCACTGAGATAAAACTAGATATATACCGCAAAGCAATCATAATTCACTATAGTACAATGCTCAATTCTCTAGAATGATGTAGCGACCACAATTCTTGAAAGAAAAATATCAGTTCAATCAAAAGTAAAGGCATGAAACTGACCTTTTCAACGCTGCATTAAGGTCCTTTTCCTTCTTATAATTGAATGCCTCATCAAACCCAAATTTCTTCTTCAAAAGATTAACCTGAGATAATATATCCATGGAAAAGCTTAGGATAAATAGGCTCAGACTATGCAATTGACATGCCCATCAATTTTTTTCACAAAGATACAAGCAACCGTTTTAGGCAGTTATTTCTTGTGTGCTGCCCACATATTTTATTGACTAATCTTATACGTTCACCTTAATTTTTATGGCAGGCGCGGATCTATGAATAGGAGATGTTGAAATAATTTTAGCATGTTTTCTTCAAATTATCGCTCCACCTTTCAGATATTTTAAAGTATGATCACCTATATATTCTATGGGGGTGTACCTACTTATCATAATCATCCTGTTTTATTAGCATCTGGTCCTGTGACCTCTATTTTCTCCATAACATTTAAACTCCCATAGAATCAAGATCAGAGGTAGACATTTTCCAAGAACAAGAATACTTCCATGTGATTTTCATGTGAGTTTAAAAACTAACATGAAAATAATGCTGTCATGAGTGTTGGGGCTCTATGTGTTAATAAAATACAATAGTTAGTTGTGAAATAAGCCACTGTAGTACAGCTGTCTTGGACCCTCTAGTTTTGCTTTTGTAGACAGACCCCTAAGTGACTTTTTTGACTATTTTACCCTCATGGGTCTATTCACCAAAAAAAAAAGAAAAAGAAAAAAAAATCCCTTTCTCTGAGGGGTAGTATATTATACCCGAAAAAGCTATTTGGCTCGCGGTTGGACCGCGAGCCAAATAGCAGGGTTCTATTATACCACAGCGGGTCTATACACAATTAACTCAAATTTGAATAAAGGCAATAAGTAGCTACATTCTCATACAAGGGATGGGAATAATTGCATCTGCATATTAGAACAAACAAAGAACTGCTCGATTTTAGAAAAAAAAAATATGGGATAGAAGCAGAAATTGTTTTCTTTTATTGATTTTTCATGTATCGGACATTCTGTGTAGAACTATGAAGAGCATTTAGAGAAACAACTCAGTTTTAGTTCAACGGACAAATACTTCTGAAGGCTATGCAATTAAGTTTGGCATACCATAAAGTAAAATTTAAATTAATGGTGAAAAACTCCCCCCATTTTAGTGAATCTCTCTCCATTAATCATTTCAGAACTACGTGGACTCTGGCAGTTATAGCACTCAAGAGCAAACAGATAAAACATTGAATTTCTTTCAAATAAAAAACTGAAAAATTATCTCAATGAGATACTGATTGCGATACAGCATCAATAAATGAAGCCAATTCAAGCTATATAAACCGGCACTTGCAACTAGAATTATATCAAATAAAAGAAAGAATAGAATCTCAAAGTAGATGAACTCACCCAAGAGTCCAGTGTAGTAAGAAAGGGGTATGTCGGTATCTTTAATTTTGAGCAGGGTTTCTGGTGATGTTACGAGGCTGTACTCTTCCCATCCAGTCATCCCCCAAACGTAGTCACCAACCTTGAAATCTGGATGCCCAGAATCCAATACTTTGCCGACGCCAAAACCACTTATGGGCTGTGCCATAACAACAGGAACCATTACCATCATTAAAAAGAAACTAACATGTAAAAGAAAATAAAGGACTATGGATGTGATCCTGAGTCCTTTTACAGTGTGAGCTGCATTAAGAAACAATAATGCTCCAAGGAAAAGCTCCGTTATTAGGAAATTATCCAATATAACAAGTGAAATTAGAACCCTGATGCTATCTTATCCTTCCTAGATTGTTGTAGCACTTATCATATGCAGGGTTTACCCACAACATTTACATCTACCTCCATATCATAACATTTCTTGTAAGTCATTAATGTAATTATCAAATAACAAGCAAACTCTGATATCATGTTCACTTGGAAAATATATTATTTGATCAGTAGATATGGACAAGTGTTTCCGGCTTCGGCAAAGGGTGACAGACATATGACAATTGTCAGAACTCCAACAATTAACTAATAGTTTGAACTTTTGAATGAACAAATCCATTATAATATTTAAGATAGTATCTCTACGTCTTAAAGTTCCTAATCATTACACGCGGAGGTGTTATTTTTAAAAAAATATACTTTAAATTCGTATTTGAACCTAAGTTGTCCTCATGCCATCCTAAAGTTCCTAACAATTAATTACTCCAAAACTCTAAAATTCTAGTGAAGGTTAAGGATTATGATTTTATATTCTATAGCTATACTACAACTTGAATAATAATAATAAAACAGTTTTAACACAATTAAAAATCAATATCCCCCCAAAACCAACCAAACCCATGTACCCAAATACCTCAATACACAGAACCCACTAGAAAAGAACTAAAAAAAAAGATATTAAAAAGGCAAATATACCGATCCAGGGACGAAATCAGGGACATAATTGGCCTCCTCGTGCTTGGACATGCTATTCCTAATATAAGGGTCACAAGACAAGTACAAATTCTTTAATAAAACAGCTTTTGATCCCTCTGCTACTTTCAAT